TCGGCACACATTCTGGAAATTACCTAGCCTGGGGCTTTCAAGAAAACAGCGTGACCTCAGACCTTCTGACAGTGCTGAGGAAGGCTCCCTCCCTCGGATCTGCCTCCCGCTCGCCCCTTCCCCCCTCCGTCCAAGCTGACTCCCTCTCTCCCGCTCTTCCCTCTCCCTCCTGCCCTCTGCCTCTCTCCCCTGCCCCTCTCCCCTCCCTTCCCCGCCCCGTTGCTTTTCCTCTCTCCTTTCTTCCTTCCCTGGCTTTTCCTTGGTCAGACCCTTGAGACTCTCCACTCCCGCCTCCTGACTCGGGGCCGCGTGCCGAGTACCTGGGGCCCGGGGTGCAGGCGAGTCGGAGGACAGCCGGCCCGCGCGCCCGCTCCGGCTGCTGAAATCAGCGGTAGTGTCTCCGGACCCGTCATTTTAATGCAGCCAAACCTGTGGCACCTTGTGGCTCCTTCTCAAGGGGGTAGCTAATACTTTTGGCACACGGGCCATTCCTTTATAAAAGCTGCCTTGAAGCAGCTGTGTCAAGGAGCTCAGACGACCTGAACCTCTCCTTACTTGTGCATTTATTTATTGATTTTGCTTCTCCAATTTGTAGTTCAATTACTCTGCTAAGTATATAAGTAGCTTTAACACCGACCCTTCACCTCCTTGGAATCGGGTATAATTGCAAACACTTATGGGGTAGGAAGTCGGACAGACAGAGCAGAGCGAGGACAGCGGGCAGGAGATCACCAAGGCAGAAAGCCGGGGTGCAAACCAAACAGCCAAAGGGGAAAGCAAGGACCTCGCCCCCATTTGGTTAGACCTCCGCAGAGGGGGACTGAACAAGGAGGCCTGAGAATAGCCCTAAGCCTTAAGCCCCCAGGATAATAAGGATCTCACCTACATCAATACATCTGGGTCTCAGTTGAGTTTCGGCTCCATCCAGGTCCAGAAAAGCAACAGAACCACATAAGCGAAGCCACTGCCACTGCTGGGCTGACCTTAGGACCAGATGGGTTGAATAATGACCCCGCCCTGGAGCCGACCAATCAGTGGAGCTCACACCCTGAAAGGACACATCTGGGAGGCTGATGAATATCCTATTGAGATCCTTACCTGAGGCCCTAAAATCTTACCCTCCCCTCTCCCATCCGCCCCCCAGGCGAGTTACACTTACTCTTCTCCTAAGCTCCAAGGGCCCTTCTTTTGTCTCCGTAACAGGTTTCCTGAGGCCATTTCTTCTACCTCTCACTTCTACCTCTGTGACTTTCTAAAAATACTTTCTTCATCTTGTAGTTTGAGTCTGGGCTCTGAGTTCTTTCCTAGGCAGAACTCAAGTACTAAGGTTGCTGAACCAAGGTCTGGTTTCTGACTCCACTGGTCTAACCCCTGGTGCCATCCTTGCCACTGACAATGCCAATGCATAGACACATAGACACACACAGACAAATACACACACCTTGGGAAATTCATACTGAAATACAGGTGGATTTTCCTAAACTTGGCAATATCTGTTTTAAAGATCAAAATGACTCACTGCTTGAGAGACCTTTTCACTGATAAATTGTACATTCTTTTCATGGTAAAAGAAAGCTGAAAAGCAAGC